CCGGCCTCCGCTCCGCCCCGCCCCGCCGTTACGGCTGCTCTGTGCATTGGGAGCTGCTAGATACAACCTCACGGGCATCCCCAAGGATTATTGTTCAAAGCATTTAGTAATTGCAAATTCTAGCAGAACATAAAAATGTCACTTAGCAGAAACCACCTCCCCCCACGCCCCGGCCTCACCGCCGCGTCCTTCGCGGGGTAATGAAACACTTCATTCAAGAATTGGGAAATGTGCAAATTGGAACGTGTTAAATCCACTTTGCTGCTTTTTTTTTTAAAAAAAAAAAAAAAAAAAAAAAGGATTTCCAGCCTTTCTTCTTTGACAGCAAAAAGAGGCAGAAGGCTCAGGAATTTGTTTTGCATTCCGAGCCCCCGGCCCCGCAGGTCTCACCCATGCTCTCCCCGCTTGCAGGAGTGGGATTACACCTACGTGCACAGCTTCTACCACTGTGCCTTGGCCATGGCCTTCGTCCTGCTGCTGCCCAAGGAGAACAAGAAGGCTGGGGGTGCTGGGACCCCCGCCAAGCTGGACTGCTCCACGCTCTGCTGCTGCGTCTGAGCCGCCCGGCGAGCAACCCAGAGCAAAATTCACCTTCTTTTGGGATGCCAGCATCTCTCCCCACCAGGTCTGTGCATACCTTGGGGCTTTTTTTTCCCCTGGAAAGTGTTCACCTTTCCACCATCAGCCCTGGCAGGGCTTGCACTTCCAGTATGCTCCATGCCTACACTTCTCCCTGGAGAAACACTTGCCCGGGCTGCAGCCCTCTGGAGACCCTTGTGCTCTGGGGCCACATCATTGCCCAGGCTGTCACCTGCTCCAGCCCAAGGAGACCCGAGTTGTCCCCTCCCTGCAGGTTTGCCAAGTCTGAGCACTCAAGCCTGAGGCTTATCTTTATAACGCCCAATTAACAAAACACGTATTTTTGTGAGAAATTTACTATTTTATTTATGCCTTCTCTTGATGTAAATAATATATACTAACAATGACTTCACAGATGTGCAATTTCTTAAGCAGCACAAGAAACTCTCCAGCTCAGGTTATGCTCTGTCACAGGCAGATGGCAAGCCCAAAGCAGAGCTCTGGGCACGGCCACCCCCTCCCCTGCCCACAGCCCCCCGTGGCCTGGAGGGAGCTGCAACATTGGGCACTTTGTCCTTGCAGACCTGGCTGGGCAGCACAGGCAGCAGGTGCCCTTGCAGAGAGCCTCATTAATATGGAAAGTACATGGAAAATTAGAGGCAGGGAATAGAAGCTCCTGGAGGGAGGGGGAGGGCTGTAAGCCTATAACATCTCCTCTAACAGACTATTTACTATAGCAGAAGTGTATGATTTATTTAGACTGTCTGGGAAAAACGCCAAGACTATATGTCATGGACAATTAGAGCAGTATTGATATACAGTGATGTCCACAGAAAGCCCACATTAAGCCTGGGTTCCTCTGGAAGAGAAATCCACCCTGGTCATTCATCAGAGCAACTTCCTGCGACGGGGCAACAACCAAAACTGAATGAGCTTCCAAGAAAAATAGAAATGAATTATGAAGCCCTGAGCATCCAAGAGTCACTGGCAAGCGGTGGCACAGCCGGTGCAGCTGCACGCAGAGGCAGTGCTAGCCAAGAGCTTCCAAAGGCTTCACCAGCACCTAAACCAACACAGCACAGCTCAGCAGGTCTTTCTGAGCATCCAGCCCCTGGGATGTTTCGCAAGGTGCTCGGAGGGTTTGGGTGCAGCACTTTCCCCATTGCTTGCACGCTGCTGGAGTACTCTGCCACGTGAGGACCGCTCAGGGCAACCCCAAAAAACAGCCCCGAGTGCTTGGACTCCTAACTGGGAGCTGAGTGCAAGAAGCACCTCGGCACTGTGTGCAAGAATTGGCCCTGGGGTTGGAGAGCTGCTTCCCAGGGGGTTGCCCACATGGGTGGCCCACAGCCAGGGCCACACTGGCCCTCGTTGAACCACCCTGAGCACGTCCCTGGGGGTGCATTACCCCTTGGGCAAATACTCAGCGCTGACCCTCCCCAGGAGCCTGACCAGCAGCCTCCATCCCTCTGCACAGCCTGTGCTGCCTGGGACACCCACTGATCAGAGGCACTCTGACCCCCCAAGCTCATTTTGCAGCTGCTGGGTCCCTTCTGGGCTGTGGTGCCATGCAGAACCCTGTGACAAGCCCTGGCAGTTCCTGGGCAGGTGGGCATGTGGAGAGCCTTGTGCAGGTAAAGCAGTGGGAGGAGAGGCACTGGGTAACTGCAACACCTCACTGGGGATGGGCAGGAGGGGAAAAAAGTTGGCAAACCCCAGGCAAACAAAGTGGGCACGCTAGCCAGGGCCCTGCTGGGGAAATGAAAGCTCCTGCTCCCACCTCCCAGCTGTTCAGGTGTTACACCCAAAGAAAACCCCAAGAAGCGTATTGCATACAATAAAATCCCAGGCAAGGTTTCCTTTCCCCCTCTCCCTGCTGACACCCCAGGGCATCCCTCAGTCCCACTGTCCATCCCACTGTCCAGCCCTTGGCACCCCTGGCCAGGACCAGCACCCGCCCTCGGGGCCGAAACACAGCGGGTGCACCCGTGGGGTCCCTGCCACAGTGGGACCGGGCACCCCAACACCCAGGAGAGGGGGTGCACAGCCTGAATTCAGTACCACTGGGGCAGGATATCCCCTGCAATACCAACGCAGGGAAATATTATAAACATTTACAGCAACATAGACAAAACAGTCTCTTGTAACCTTTTAGCGCTGCCGAGCGCTTTGCCTGTAAGAGCTCTTGAGCCCCTGCCAAAAATTCTTGCTGTTTTCATAAGAGTAGGTGTTTTCGTCTAAGGTGCAGTCTGAGTGCTGTGACCTTTGTCATGTCTGCTACTGAAATTTCCTGCTTCTCTGTTATTCTCTTCTTTGGTAAGACGATATGAAACCCAAAACTTTTATTGCCCCTTTTAAAGCGTCTTTATAGCTCCCCGTCTACTTCATATACTGTCTTATTCTGCAGCACTGGGATATTACTTAGGGGATCCGGGCTTGATGCTGCAAAAGGCATTTGGGTTTCACAAAGCCTAAACTGCCTGGGCTTTTTTAAGATCAGCTGGGGGTGGGGGAGAGAAGGGGGGAGGAATAAAAAAGAAAGAAGGAATGAGTGGGGAGGGATTGGGCTTCCCACTCCAGAGGCATCGAGAGCTGCTGCCAGCCCAGAGCAGTGTCACAGTCAGGCAGGAGCCTGGCACCTCCCTGGCACAAAACCCCATTTGCTCTGGGTCAGTGTGGGGAGCCAGCCAGCCCCATGGGGATGGCACCACATGGCTTCTCCTCCCCACCTCCATCCCCTGCCAGCCCTGCCCCGGAGCCCACAGCTCAGACGTGGCCGGACGCTGTGGCTGGTGCCCAATCCCCTGTGCAGTGGCTGGGGCACATCTGCCCTAGTGCTGGCACTGGGGGAGGCCAGCCCAGCTCAAGGGGGCTCCCACACACCCCAATTCCCTGCTCAGCCTCCACGTCGGGGCACAGCACAGGAAGGATGTGTCCTCAATGAAGGCTGGGCACCGGTGCCAGGGCTTTGTGCTGCCATCCCATCCTCTGGGCTGTGGGGCATCCCCTCAGCTGTAGGGATCCACAGGGATCTGCACACTCCCCAGAAGCCCCACGGTGGGAGGACCAGGACCCAGCGTGCCCAAAGGGAGAGGGGGGAATTAGGACCTACTCCTGCTCGAGGGGAGGCTTCCAGAGATGTCTAGTTGGGCTCCGTGCCAGCTAATCTTCCAGGCAAACTTTATCCAGATCCCTTTGGCTGCAGAAAGTGAAAAACCAGCCAGACTAAAACATAAAAGCCTGGTTTCTGCTGCCAGCTGTATGGGGCACTCCAGAAAACACCTTATCACCATCTGATTTTTACAGATCGCTTCAGGTTTGGGGTTTTTTTTTTCCACATGCTGCTCTTCCCTCCTCACCCTCTCACTGCCATTCCTCCGAGCACATTCCAGTTGCAAGGCAGCCAGCCCACCCTGCCAGGTTACCTCACAGACCGTGGGGCCAAGGTTTTCCTTCTAACCATTTTTATGCCTATCCAGCTTCAGAAAGTGATGCTGCTCCCTCCCAAGGCACGTGCAAGGGACTGGTGGTGGGCAGCCCAAGGAGATGCACCCACCAGGACAGTCCTGCCTCCTCCCTGGGAGAGCCAAAGTAATGTAATTCTTTTGGAAAGTCAAGAGTGGTGGTTTCTTGTGCAGGTAGGAGCAGGAGCTCTGTGGGGAGCCCCAGGGCCTTGCCCTTGGGTCCTCCATCACCCTCTGGTTCTGATGTGCAGGAGATATCTGTGCCCTGCACCAGGGATAAGCCAGGTCTGCTGGGGCAGAGGGAAGGCACCACCAATGTCCTACACAGACCCAGGGCTCCATGGCCCTGAGACATGGTACAGGTGAGAAACCTGCCCCATCTATCAGCCTGCATAAAAAGGGAAGATGAAGCAACTAAAGCACCTAGCTGGGACCACCTGGTACCCCTTAGCTTTGCTCCAGCTATCCCAGCACCCGTGCTTATCTTTTTCTGGTGCACAAGGATGGTCTCTGGCATTGCAGAGGAGCCAGGGAGTCATCCAGGAAGAGCAGGGTGGGATTTGCCATGGCTGGAGCTGCTCTGCAGAAACACCACCTCTCTTCAGGACAGAGTTAGAGCAGATGTAACCCCAGAGGCTGGTGAAGTGGTACCTCCTACGTGTGTGCAAAGCAGCCTAATACAGGGCCAACAAGAGAAAAAACAAACAAACAAACCCTGATAGATCAGGGGGCTGCTTGAAACAACACCACACAACATCCCAACAGGTTTCTATTGCCCTAACTCCTCCCAGCAATATTTCCAGCCCAACTTTCCTCCCCAGCTAGCAGGGACAGGGCAGCCTCAGCATGGCAACTGGCTATTTTGGGGGCATGGTGGAGCTCAGCTGTGGCTCTGTGTGAGCTGCTCACCTCCTGGGAGCACCAGGCAGAGAGTCCCTCTCACACCCATGGGTGTCTGACCCCCCAGCAGCACTGGAGCTGGACACGGATGGGGGACTCAGCCCAAGCCCCGAGTCCCCAGCCCAGGAAGGGCAGATGCAAAGCAGCCCAGCTCACTCAGCTCTTGAGGAGGTGCTTTAACAGCTGCAAAAAGCAGCTCCGGGTCCAGGGTCGGTGTCTCCAGCCTCCCGGCTCCTCCGGTGGAGCGGTCCCAGGGAGCAGCAGTCCAAGGTTTTTGGTTTAGGCCAATCTCCCAGAAATTCTGTCATCATGCAGTGCATCACGCACACTCCCGGATCCGCATTACACAGAGCATGGCCCTGGTCCAGCACCTCCTAAAGTCAGTGGAAAAACCCTCCCTCGCTACGATAGGAGCTGGCTCGGGCCGGACACGATCTGACAGATACCACGGAGCGAGAGGAGCTGTTTTCATCTGGGAATATCTCGTGGCCCCAAAGCTTCTCCCAGAGACAGGGCAATGTGTCTGCAGAGCGGGTGCTGCTCAGAAAAACTCCCAACCTTGCAACAGCCTTTCAAGGAGCACTTAATGAACCCTCGTTATCTGATCCATGTGCAAGGCAACCGCTCG